GTTAATACTCAGGCAGAATGTGAAAAGCGGAACTTGGGCCGTACTTTGGCGGTACTTGGGCCGAATGTAAAAAGTGGCACTTCGGCCGTACTTTGGCGTAACTTAGGCAGAATGTGAAAAGAGGCACTTGGGCGGTTCTTAGGCAGAATTTGAGCAGCGGCACTTGCGCCGTACTTGGGCAACACTTCTGCGATACTTGGACCGTACTTTGGCGGTACTTAAAAGGCACTTAGGCAGAATGTAAAAAGCGGCACTTGGGCCGTACTTTGGTGGTACTTAGGTAGAATGTGAATAGTGGAATTTTGGCGGTAATTTGGCGGTACTAGGGCAGAATGTGAAAAGCGGCACTTGGGCGGTACTTATGCAGCACTTCGGCCGTACTTTGGCGATACTTTGGCGATACTTGGGCTGAATGTAAAAAGCAGCACATCGGTGGTACTTGGGCGGTACTTGGACAGAATTTGAGCAGTGGCACTTGGGTGGTACTTAAGGTGTACTTTAGCGGTACTTTGTCGGCTCTTGGGCAGAATTAAAGCCGTGGCACTTGGGCGGTACTTTGGCGGCACTTGGGCAGAATGTAAAAAGCGTTACTTGGGTGCTACGTGGAGTGTACTTTGGCGGTACTTTGTTGGAACTTGGGCAGCATTTAAGCAGCGGCACTTGAACTGTACTTCAGCGGCACTTCTGCGACACTTGGACCGTACTTTGGCGGTACTTAAAAGGCACTTAGGCAGAATGTAAATAGCGGCACTTGGGCCGTACTTTGGCGATACTTTGTTGGCACTTAGGCAGAATTTAGATAGCGGAACTTGGGCCGTACTTTAGAAGTACTTGGGCAGAATGTGAAAAGCGGCATTTGGGCGGTACTTACGCAGCACTTAGACCGTATTTTGGTGGTTCTATGGCGGTACTTAGGCAAAATGAGAAAAGGGGCACTTGGGCGGTACTTAGGCTAAACTTGGGCAGAACTTTAACAGCGGCACTTTGGTGGTACTTGGACGGTACTTTGGCTGTAGTTTGTCAGCACTTGGGCAAAATGTTAGCATCGGCACTTGGGCGGTACTTGGGTGACACTTGGGCCATACTTTGACTGTTCTTTTTCAGAACCAAGGCAAAATGTGAGCAGCGGCACTTGGGCAATACTTGGGCCGCAATTGAGCGGTACTTTGGCTGTAGATTGTCGGCACTTGAGCGGCACTTGGGCCGTACTTTGGCGGTACTTATGCAGAATGGGAAAAGCGGCATTTGGGCGTATCTTGGGCAGAATTTGAGCAGCGGCACTTAGGCGATACTTAAGCGGCACTTTTGCGGCACTTGGGCCGTACTTCAGCAGTACTTTGTTAGCACTTGGGAAGAATGTAAAAAGCGGCACTTGGGCCATACTTTGGCGGTAATTGGGCATAATGTGAAAAGTGGCACTTGGGCGGTTCTTCGGCAGAATTTAAGCAGCGGCACTTGGGCAGTACTTGGGCGGCACTTATGCGGCACTTGGGCCGTACTTGAGCGGTACTTTGAAGGCACTTAGGCAGAATGTGAAAAGCGGCGCTTAGGCTATACTTTAGCGACACTTTAGCCGTACTTTGGAGGTACTTTGTTAACACTTAGGCAAAATGTGAACAGCGGCACTTGGGCCGTACTTTGGCGGTACTTGGGCAGAATGTGAAAAGCGGCACTTGGGCGGTACTTAGGCAGAATTTGAGCAGCGGCACTTCGGCGGTACTGAGGCGGTACTTGGGCGGCACTTAGGCGGTACTTGGGCGGCACTAAGGCAGTACTTAGGCTGTACTTGGACCGTACTTTGGCAGTACTTGGGCAGAATGTGATAAGCGGCACTTTGGCGGTACTTGGGCAGAATTTGAGCAGCGGCACTAGGGCTGCACTTAGGCGGTACTTGGGCGGTACTTGGGCCGTACTTTGGCGGTACTTGGGCA